AAATTGTTTCATCTGTATTTTTTGCTGATCTGACAGATTTTCTAAAGGATTATTCGACTCATAATCATAGAAATTTGTTAGACGATACCTATTTTATTTTTTTTAAAAAAATAAATAAAGTAAAATATTATTTTTTTTCCTAAACTAACCAATATCCAATAACAAAACTACAGTTAGATTTGTCATATAATCGTAAAAGATTTTCACCGATACTAATAAAATCATCAGTACGACCATCATCGATTTTCTCAAATTTTGATACTTGTTCACAGCGCTTTTTCGCAAAATTTATTAGCTAAGATAAAAATATATAATTAATAAATGCATACAATGTATATAGATTGGTAAAAACTTAAATTGATTAATTTAATTTTTAAAAAAAAAATAATAATATACAAACATTTTCGTCAAGCTTCAATGGTCTCGAATTGTGTTTGGATCGATAATAATTAATAGATTTTAAACATTCCATATTAAATGATGGAGTAGTTTCATCTATGACCGTCCATTTTTCATTGGGATCAACATAGTCGTAGGATTCAACATTATTTATCATGCTAGTATGAACATGATAATTTTTAGCTAAAATATAGTTAGACATTAAAATAAAATTATAATTATATTTAAAAATTAAATATATATATATATATATTTAAATTTAATAAACTTACCAAATATTGCTAAAAATGAAATAATAGTTAAAACTTTCATAAAATAAAACATCGTTTTTTGTGATTTTTTTAAAAATTAATTAAATATTTCTAAGTAAATTTAGTATAATTTTGTTTAATACCAAACTATGATACTGTATATAATTAATTAGCTAACTTAAATATTTTGCATCACTTATTTATACCCTAATTTAATCAAATGATTAGTTTGCTTTTTTTTAAGAAAAAATTAATTTTCATTGTCTAGACTCTAGACTATTAAATAATTAAATAAATATTACTTTAATATTTATTAGATAAATAATGATAATTAAATTTTTTTGTAATATATTATAAAATTTATTTGATTAAAACTAATAATATTATTGTTAATTATTTTTTTCTTAATTTTAACATATAATTACTATATTCATACTTAATCTTATTTATGAATATATTAAATATATAAAACTATATTATTTTATTTATAATTAACTAATGTCTACTAAAATGTTTAGTAAATTATTTAATAGATTTAAATTTCTAACTAAAAATTTTGAATTAAAATAATTTATTATATTCATTAACAATTATATATATAATAAATGTTTTTTTAGTTAAATATATTGATTATTATAGATTATTTTAATATATTATATTTAAATAATTTATTTTTAATGTTTTAATTAATTTTTATTATTATATAAATTAAGTTATATATATATACACGTGTATTACATTTTTTAATTAATGTAATAGTAATATATTACTAATATTAGATGATAAGCTAGTTTTGAATTTTTAACTAAAATTTTGAAATATAATAATTTATTAGTAATTTTATTAGCAAATATAATTGTTTAGTAATTTTAATATATTATTTATTAGCTAATTTTATTATTTTGAAATATAATATAATATAAAAACCAGTTAAGAATGCTAGAAAGCATTTTTAGAAAAAAACTTGAATAGCACTGAAACCATTAGTTTGTATAATTATAGCGGTTATATAGTAACATAAAAATTTAAAAGCTGGTCAAATATACATAATTTAAATATTGTTTTATAGTGATTAGTTATATTTGTATATCAAATGACTCGGTATGACAAAATAAATTCAACTTTAGTCATGTAGGGTATAAAATGATTCAGTATGACAAAATAAACAACTACTAAAGTGTGGTATCAAATGATTACTATAACAAACTATAATCATTTTTTGCCGCCATTTTTTGAAAAAATAAAATTATAATTTTGATCTATTATATCTTATTTTTTATGCTCTATACAATTTTAAACGTTAAAAATTTTTACCTAAATTTTTTTACTTTGGCCGCCATTTTTCTCTATGTTACCGAAGAGATATTAAAATTTTAATACATATTTTTATGCCTGTTTTTGATGCTTTATTCAAATCTATACTTAAAAAATTTTACCTAAAATTTTTTTTATCTTTGGCCGCCATTTTCTCTATGTTCCCGAAGAGATATCAAAATTTTAATGCAACTTTTCAATACATTATTAATAGTCCTATAACTGAATCTGAAGTCAGAATTTCAAAATTCGCAAAAAAATATGCGACACACACACAGACAGACTCAAAAAGCCATTATAGATTTCAGTAAACAAAACTTTTCAAGTTTTTTTTGATAATATATATATTATTTATAATACATTTAATAATATACAGTATACTGTATACACTGGCACAATTAAACATTTTTTAAAATTAATCTAATCTAATTATTTTATCAATTGATTTTAACTATACAGTACATAATTAAAATCAAACATAAAAAAACAATAATAATATAAATAATATTACCAAATAATAATATAAATAATATTACCAAATAATAATATAAATAATATTACCAAATAATAATATAAATAATATTACCAAATAATAATATAAATAATATTACCAAATAATAATATAAATAATATTACCAAATAATAATATAAATAATATTACCAAATAATAATATAAATAATATTACCAAATAATAATATAAATAATATTACCAAATAATAATACAGTAGTTATAATATTTTAATAAAAAAAAATTATATAAACATTTGCTTAATAAACATAATAATAAAATTATTATATTTTAAATTAACTATTTGTCAAAAAGGCAGTAATCATTTTACAATTTAATTAGAAGTTTAATATAAATAATTATTTATTTATTTTTAAATTGTTTTATAAAATATAATTTATTTTAATTTAAATTTAATTATTTCAATGAAGAGAAAGAGATAGTGAGTGAGTGAGTGAGTGAGTGAGTGAGTGAGTGAGTGAGTGAGTGAGTGTGTGTGTGTGTGTGTGTGAGAGTGATAGAGATAGAGATAGAGATAGTTATAGTTATTGTCATAAAATTTTTACATTAATTAAACAAAAAAATATCGTTTATTACAAATACAATAATTTTTTTTGTAACAATAACTTAATTTACAGTATATTTGAATTAGTTATACAAACAAATATTAATTGTTTTATTTAATGATTGATTGATTAATTACTACTACTGGTTGTTGTTGTTGTTGTTGTTGTTGAGACACAACCGGGACATACATGAAGTGTTTCCGTGAATAAACAGATCGCAATCAATACAATAGATTTTTGAGAACAGTCCTCACAAACGGCACCACTAATTGATTTTTACTATCGATTTGTTTATTAAAGGCATAGCATTCACGAGTAGTAGTAGTAGTAGTAGTATCGGCCGATTCGGGAACAGTTAGCTCTTGGAATACATCGACTGGAAACAGATGATGATAGGAACGGGCCAAATGTGCCGGCGATACCAATGTTAGGCCACAAACCTGACACTCGACGGGTAGATCACAGTATTTTGATTGACATTTCGGACACAAATAGCCGGTTGTACTGAAATTGCATGTATTGTTCAGATGGCATACACACATCGATGCTTGAGTTTGGCCATCGTTCATATAGGTTGGGAAACCCATTTGCATGAGCGATGACTCGGTCATTGATGATGCCGGCGGATCCATGTGCTGATAGACCAGTTCCTTATAGTGTCCCTCATCCATGACAACATCGTACAGGCCTTTAGTTTTCTGGGCCAATGTTCGACAAATACGTAGTTCGGCGGCCAATCCAATGACCGAACAGCGGATGTTATGGACAAACAGTTGACTAATCGTCTGATTGATATCATTTGGATCGCATGTCGTCAAACTGCCCATCAATACGAGTACTTCTTTGCTGGTGTGGGCCGGCATATGTCTGGTGTGATTCATATAATTAAAAAAAACAATTACCTATACATTCAATATTCAAATCAATTGAATCACTGGATCTAATCAATTGAATCACAGGATCTAATCAATCAATTGAATCACTGGATCTAATCATTTGAATCACTGGATCCAATAAATCCAATCAATACCTTAGTATCTTCATTGACATTTCGAGCGCATTCTGAAGAGATGGTTCGCCAATACAAGACATATCGTTCAACCGTCGGATGGCATCCAAATGCTGGCGAACATTGGCACTCAAATCGCTTAGTTTTTCGGCTCTTTTATTTCGGGTAACAATCAGTCCTAAATGGCTGATCGGGTTTTGATCGATAAATTCATTGATAAACATTTCCAATATTTTTGTCGTACATTTCAGCCGATTTGGTCGCAAATCTATTTGATTCATCGATGAAGACATGTCTACAACGATAAACAGATGTCTCATCTGCGGTAATAATAATAATACAATACAAAGAGATAATCAATGGTCAGTCAATCAAATCAGCACAAAAAAAGCCGAACCATTCCGAGCCGTAGATTCTTTTTGTTAGCCAGTCGTCGGCGTTTGGCTTTGTTCACCATATCGGCGACCATCGGTTCGATGAGTCCGACGGCTGTCTCTTTGATTGCTTCCCTATAGAAGTTTGAAGACATTATTCATTATTATTACCACAAAACAGAAGTTATGTTTAGTTTTCAAAGACAATCAATCAATCAGATCAATACATACCATGTCTTTTCGTATTCAGTTTCCCAACGATATCCACCTTTGCCATCATCGTCGGCGTCCATATTGTTGTTGTTGCTGTTGCTGATGATGATGACTAATATTTGTGGCCAATAGTTATTATTATTATTATCACAACTAACTGATCCCAAAATAAGACATTTGTTGAATTTGGTCGGCGAAGATGTGGCCAAATCAACGAATAAAACTTAATAAAAGCTAATCAAAACATATACACACATATAAACACATACACACACACACACACACACACACACACACACACACACACACACACACACACACACACACACACACATTGACAGCAATTATTAATTACAGATCAGGTGGTGTTTCGCAACCCGACCACTCAAACAGTGGTTCGGTGCCATCGACGGTCACATTGGTCTTAAATAGGCTTAAATTATGAGACAACAGCTGAAACAAAGTAATGTTCAACTGTTGTGGTTGGGTTAGAGCTTGTGGTATACTTGTAATGGTCGCCACTAAGTGATCCAGTTTACCACACAGTTCATCAATTTGTCTTTTAATTGACATCAGTGCGTGACTCTCGACCATATAAATGTCAACTCCAGGCCCCTCTTGGGCTACATAACCAATTGCTGCCGACAATTGGTGCCGAAGAGTGACCAAATGACTGAGAGAGAGAGAGAGAGAGAGAGAGAGAGAGAGAGAGAGAGAGAGATAATTATTGTCATAAAATTTTTACATTAATTAAACAACAAAAAAAAATACCGTATTTTACAAATACATTAATTTTTTTTTGTAACAATAACTTAATTTACAGTATATTTGAATTAGTTATACAAACAAATATTAATTGTTTTATTTAATGATTGATTGATTGATTGATTACTACTACTACTGGTTGTTGTTGTTGTTGTTGTTGAGACACTACCGGGACATACATGAAGTGTTTCCGTGAATAAACAGATCGCAATCAATACAATAGATTTTTGAGAACAGTCCTCACAAACGGCACCACTAATTGATTTTTACTATCGATTGATGTTTATTACAGTCATAGCATTCATGAGTAGTAGTAGTAGTCTTATAGCCATCCGATTCGGGAACAGTTAGCTCCTGGAATACATCCGACTGGAAACTATGATGATGATAGGAACGGGCCAAATGTGCCGGCGATACCATAAATGTTAGGCCACAAAAAAACCTGACACTCGACCGGTAGGTCAACAGTATTTTTGATTGACATTTCGGTTGACAATTACATCAATCAGCAGATAATCAATCAATCAATCAATCAATTAGTTTAGTGTCCATACAATCCATACCCATTTGGCTGCCGATTATCGGCATTCAGTGCCGCCGTTATACGATCTATGCTACGTATAAGTGTTATGACATTTTCATCGATGTCCACTCTATAGCCATCGTTGTTTGGATTCATTATTAATTGGTTGTTATTAAATGATAATGACTTATATTTTAATATATTATATGATGTTTTCAATACATTCACACGTAATGACTGATCCATTGATTTCAGTCGTCTTTTATATAGTTTTTTTGGATCTGAACTGTTGATTGAAAAATTGATTGCATTGTTGTTGTTGTTGTTGTTGTTGTTGTTGGCCATCATTTGTTATATTAATTTATAAATTTTGGAAAATAACTTATAATACATTAGTAAATAAATAAACTGTTAGATTATATTCAAAACCAAAACACTACCACTAATACAGTAATGTATATATATATATATGCGCGCAATGTATTAGTGTTTAATGCTTAGAGAGGGGCCGAGTTTTTGCAAAACATAAACTATTTGTTATATAGTTATTATTCATACAATTTTATTTGTATGTATATATATATATATATATTATGTATAATCTATGATATATCTATGTGCTTGTGTGTGGTGCGACTACTATTGTTTTGGTTTTGTATATAATTGGACAGTATAAACTCATACATACATTTATACATACATTGATTTGTTTGTATTATTATAACTAAATATTATTATTATTGTATTTCAATCAATGAATTATATAATAAAAAAATATATAAATTTAATTGAATTGTCATTTGAATTGCTGTTTGAATGTTAATAATAATAAAACAATTTTTTTATATATAAAATGTTGAATCAATTGATCATTGATTTAGTTATTTAATTGAATTTTAATGTTTGTTTGGTTTGGTTTTGAATTCAATTTGATTTCAATTTTAACACAACTATAACAACAATAACAACGAGTTATTTATAAATTAATTAAAATTTATTATTATTTAGTTATTTATATCATATATTCAATCAAATTGTTTTTGAATTGCAATCAAAAAACAACAAAAATTATTAAATTATTTATCCATTGATTGCTATTTTAACTAAAATATCGGATTTTTTTTTTGATTATTAATTCAATTATTTTTTTAAAAAACAATTATTAATTAATTAACTAATTATTATATATTTTTACTGTTATATTATTTTTTTTACTGACAATTGTTAACTAAATTTAGTTAATTAATTAATTTAATAATAATAATAATAATATTGTTATCAAATATTATTGTTTGTTTACGATATACAGTATATAATGATATAAATGTTATAAACCTATTGTATTGTAAAACAAAACTAAAACAAATGTTTGTATTATAATTAAGTCAATTCATCAATTAATTTGATACCCGATTACCATCCGATAAGTGGCCACTACTGATAAGACACACGATGGCAACCATGGCATCGCCATATAGGGCACAGTTTAATACACCCGCCGGTGGAGGAGGAGGCGGTGGTGGCGGCGGAGGAGGAGGAGGAGGTCCGCCATCACAGTATCACAAAGGCTATCGCCAGCCGATGACCAGTTTCTATGTATTTCAACCGCGACCGCCAGTGGCCAATACATATCAGGCTACCGAATTTGATGGGAAACGTTTGCGTAAAGCCATTGCCCGCAAAACAGTCGACTATAATTCGTCGGTAATTAAGATGTTAGAGTCAAGAGTCTGGCAACGGGACGAACGAGATTTTCCCGCTATTAATCCCGATGTTGGCTACTATACAGAGGTTTTTTAATTTAAAAAAAATTGTTTTTAAAAGTTTTTTAATTATAAACTCTAATATCTATTGTTTTGTTTGTTTCGTTTGTTTGTTGGATCAGATGGTACCGCCGTTGAATATGTTGGACAATCCATCCAATTGTATAACTACAAAGTTTGTCCGAACATCGACCAATAAGATGCGTTGTCCAATATTTTGTGTCCTCTGGACACCCGAAGGTCGACGACTGGTTACGGGAGCTTCGAGTGGAGAGTTTACTCTATGGAATGGATTGACATTCAATTTCGAGACCATTCTTCAAGTAATTATCGTTTCATTCATTGATTTTTGTGGTCACTGTTGTTGTCGGCGGCGGCGGCGGCGGCAGCAGCGGACATATCAACTAACTATTTGCTAATTGAATGTCTAATTTGATTTGTTTTCATTTTGATCCACCCATTGATTGATGATTATTAGGCTCACGATAGCGCCGTACGGGTAATGGTCTGGAGCCGTAGCGACAATTGGATGGTCACTGCCGACCAAACCGGTTATGTCAAGTACTGGCAAAGCAATATGAATAATGTGAAGATGTTTCAGGCGCACAAAGAGCCGATACGGGCCATCAGGTTCGCACATAACACACACACAATCAATCAATCAAAAAATAGCAGATATATCTGCGCACAGTTACCTTAAAAAAAAATATTTTTTAGACTACCGGTTCACCAAATAAACAAATAATAACATCTCCCTATCACACAATCATCACCGGTGATGTATTTTGTTGACTATTTTTTTTTAATTTGTTTGTTAAAATAATTATATATTTGTTAATTATATATTTAATCGTTAATTATTTATTTATTTAAAAAAAAATCATACAAATCATTGCTAATAAATTTTCAATCAATACCTACATTAAACTAATAATAAGTTTATAATAATAATAATTATAATAATTATAATTTCATATGCTATGCGATCAATAATAATAAAAAATAAAGTCAATACTACTACTACTACTACTACTAATTATATGATTAAAACTTTAAACTAATTTAAAATATTTTTAATCTCAAAAATAAAGTTTTAATAATAAATATATATATTATGTTAAGCTATATATGTGTTTCAACAAACAAACAAAATCTGTGATATATTTTATAACAAAAAATAAAATGTTGTCTTTATTTTTAAGATATTTATAAAAAATATTATTTTTAAGATATTTATAAAAAAAATATTATTTTTATAAATAAAGATTTACCCAAAAAAAAATCAATGATTTAACTTCAAATAAATAATGTGTGATAGTTTATAATATATATATATTTGTGATATTAGTTTTAATATTTTTTATTGTTTATATGATTTCTAAATAGTTTATATTTGAAAAATAATTAATAAATAAAATAAAATGCAATAATCATAATAGACGACAACAACAAAAATTTATACAATAGTATTATATATATATAGAGAAAATATATATATTTATTATTTGTTAACATATTTTTCAATTATAGTTTTAGAAATTCATGTATAAAATTAGTGATGAAAAAAGTGTTTTTTTTAAAAAATACATTAATATAATTATATGTATATTTAGGTGTTTAACAATATAAAAATTTTTACCTTATATTTGTTTTTTTAATTTATTTGTTTTTTTTAGTTATATGATACATATATGATGTGTGCGCTTAATGGCAATAATAACTTATAGTTTAATAATATATGTTATCTAAAATAGTATCATAACTTATACTTTAATTATATGCTAGAATTTAGGCCTATTTATGATTATTAATATAATTTAATAAAAATATTTATACATTGTATATACACAGGTATTATACATACAATAACACATAGCTGTGCACAACCAATACGTCTATGATATTAACTATTATTATTATTATTGCTGTTTTGGTTTTGAATATATAATTTATATATTCAAAACCAAAACAATAATATATATCCGATTATTTATAATATAATTTAGTTGAAAAAATAGTTTTTTTTTTTAATTAAAATAATTCATATTTTTTATTATTAGTATTATTTACGGTAAGTTAGTATTATAGTAATTATATACAGTTTTTTTTTAATTTTTTAATTAAATTAATTTAAAAATTAAGTAAAAAAAGTGATTTTTTTTAAAAAACAAATATTTAAAAAATCCGACTAATAATCGGTAAAAAAAAATCCGATACCCTTTGGATAACCGGAAATTGGCAGCAAATGAAAACTTTTTTTTTTTTTTTGGGTCAACTGTTGGCCCCAACAAACTACTTGAGGTACGGGTTTGAGGTAAAGCTGTCCGCGGGATATATATATCGCTTACTTTTTTTGATAGACATAATCATTAGTATCGCCCAAACCGTGTATATGGGATCAGTTGACTCAAACTCCGTTGTGAATCGGCTGTGAATTGATAGTCAAAACTCTGCGTTTGTTCAGTTCGGCTACAATTCGGCGACAATCAGACCGGTTTCGGGTGTCGTGTAGTTTTTCACTCAGTATTCCACGGTATCATCGAAACACGTTTACCCGTATTTACCGGTATTACGATTACCCGAAACATAACACTAGAATACATGACAGACATCTGTTTCACGGGTCAACTCCCGGCCCCACATATCCCGGAGTTCATCATTCGGTTTCTTTGCGTCCAAAAACAAATAGTAATCTTTAAGATCCGTGAAAGCAAACGAGTCTGACCGACCCCATCGGCCATTCGGGAATTAATCCCACGATTGCGTCCGATAGACATAGCTTTTTGGTCGAACCGACCAGAATATTGGCCGAACATCTTCCCGACGACGGCGATGACTAGGAGGCGGTAGCCATGGCAACGGTTTGGCCATACATTTCAACCATAAACCCAATTGTTTTAGTATAGCTGTTGTCGCCAATTCACGATTTAATGTATAAAAATGAAGACCAGGTGTAGAATTCGTGGGGAAATCAATAGCCGACACAAACTAACTGTCCAATCGATACCATAGTTACGGACACGGCTTCGTCATTGTTACGCAAACGGTTCAGATCTGTTAAGATATTCGGAGGTATATCTAGTTTCGATAGTTTAACAATTTTTTCCAATGAATCATAGCTCTGAATGGGCATAATTCCGGCCAAAATCGGTACATCGATACTTTCGCGGCAACATTTGGCCACAAAATCGGTAAATACTTCAGCTTTGAAAAATAATTGCGTAATAATAATAGTCGGCGCCGGCATCTACTTTATCTTTCAAATACTTAATGTCCAAATCGGCTGACTAGGACTCCGGATGACAGCCCAGATAGTCGGCGGCAACGACTATCGTAAAAATACTGGCCATACTCTTGACGTAAAGCGTACCGAATCGGCGGCAAACTTAAACTCTTGGCCAACACTACTAATACTAGAGTCGTCGGCGACACGTTTGCTATCGTTGCCAATGATGTCAATCTTTTTGTTGGTGTTGTTGTCGGCATTGATTCGGTCGGCACTGAGGGCTAGTATGTTACGAATGCCCAAACACTTGGCCCGATCCAAGTGCTGGCGTAGATCCTGTCGGTTGAGTCCAATACACGTAATATGTGTCCCAACCGTGTAGGCGATCAGTTGACTCCAACTCCGTTGATATTTGGCTATCAATTGATGGTCAAAACGCCGCGTTTATTCAGTTTCGACAATTCGGTGACAATCAGTCCGGTTTCGGGTCGCAGTTCTTCACTCAGTAATCCACGGTATCATCGAAACACGTTTACCCGTATTTACCGGTATTACGATTACCCGAAACATAACACTAGAATACATGACAGACATCTGTTTCACGGGTCAACTCCCGGCCCCACATATCCCGGAGTTCATCATTCGGTTTCTTTGCGTCCAAAAACAAATAGTAATCTTTAAGATCCGTGAAAGCAAACGAGTCTGACCGACCCCATCGGCCATTCGGGAATTAATCCCACGATTGCGTCCGATAGACATAGCTTTTTGGTCGAACCGACCAGAATATTGGCCGAACATCGGCGGCCATGGAAACGGTTTGGCCGCAAATTTTATCTAAAAATCTTTTTAAAATACATACAAAAAACAGAGAGACAAACAATGACAAAGACAGACAAATATAAAGACAAACAATCTTCGGTCGTCAAACTAATGTTGACCATCGCCGACATCTGGAATCAGATGCGGCGGACTATCTTCCTGTCCAACAACAGGAGGCCAAAGAATGATACTATCGGTGTCTCTTATATTTGACTTAAAAGTATAGAGTAATTGAAGGATTTGTTGGACTAATGGGTGATACTCTAGATGTATATCTTGAGCATTAGAGAGCTCGCACTCAAACACCAATGCATCGACATATGTCTTGACCAACATTTTTGATGTCATTATATTGTACGCTGGCATTGGGTTATCCGGTAAGACATAGTCGACAATAAATGGCATCAAATGATTCCGAAGGTCGGCCAACACTCTGGAGGAATGAGAGGAGATATATATAGATAGAGAGATAGAGAGATAGAGAGATAGAGAGATAGAGAGATAGAGAGAGAGATAGAGATAGAGATAGAGAGATAGAGAGAGAGAGAGAGAGAGAGAGAGAGAGAGAGAGAGAGAGAGAGAGAGAGAGAGAGAGAGAGAGAGAGAGAGAGAGAGAGAGAGAGAGAGAGAGAGAGAGAGAGAGAGAGAGAGAGAGAGAGAGAGAGAGAGAGAGAGAGAGAGAGAGAGAGAGAGAGAGAGAGAGAGAGAGAGAGAGAGAGAGAGAGAGAGAGAGAGAGAGAGAGAGACAATGACAACAATATTTACTCGTTTGCTTGAAGTGCTATTATCTCATTGATCTGATCCACTAATAGTCTTAGTTTAGAAGATATTGATTCCCACGCATTCATTGTTTTCAATCGGTGTCTATTATGTATTTCCAATAGTTTATAATTATCAGACATTAGATGTGTCTGATATAAGATATGTCTTAAAAGTGATCGTCTTTTTAATTTATGCCTCATTTTTATAACAAAATATATTGTTGTTGTTGTGGTATTTGATTCACTCTTTGGTCACAACAATGGAAAAAAATGTCAGTCTTTTGGTTTCAATCACACAATTAGTATAGAATAGTATAAACTGTGTCTCATATGTACTGTATTTATACACACTGTATGTTATAAAACAGTTAGGGTTACATCAGATTCAATCCCATGTTTTATTTTATACCTAAAATCATATGTTCCCAGTACTTTCCAGGTAATTTCCAGGGGGGGGGAATTTATTAATTAATTGTGCTACCTATATATATTTAATTCTAAATTTACACAATTTATTATAATTTTCAAAAAAATAAATAAAATTATTAGTTTTTATTTTTTTAAAAAAACAATTATTATATTAAATAGTATTTTTTTAAGTTGTATTGATTTTTTCATATATATAACTAAATTAATTGAATTAAAATTTGTTTTTAAAAATCAATTGCAACGTTTTGGTATTATTTAATTTTAATTAATAAAAATTTATTTTCATATTTAACTATAAATGTAGAGAATATAACATTTTTTTCGGGAAAATTTGAGTGATTATTATAAGGGAACTTCCCTTTCCCTGGGAGATGATCTAACTTTTATAATAGTATACATAGTGTACAAAGTTTGTATTATATTACTCATATATATACTCACACACACACACATACTGTACATACACACACACATACTGTACATACACACACACATACTGTACATACACACACACATACTGTACATACACACACACACACACACACACATACATACACACACACACACACACACACTCATACTGTACATACACACACATACTGTACATACACACATACACACACACACATACACACACACACACATACACACATACATACATACACATAAATACACATACAATGTGTATTATGATTCATATGTATTATTGTAATTTATATCTAATGGGCCTAAGATAGTAGTTGAAAATAATGTTATATTTTGTACTTTATTATGTATACATACATACATTACATATACTCAGAGTTTAATAGTTTACTACTACTACTACTACTACTAATAATAATAATAATAATAATAATAATATCAATAAATATGGCGTTTAAGTGAATTGTCGTGTTTTTTGTTGTTTGATTTGTTTGTATTATTATTAACTAAATATTATTATTATTGTATTTCAATCAATGAATTATATAATAAAAAAATATATAAATTTAATTGAATTGTCATTTGAATTGCTGTTTGAATGTTAATAATAATAAAACAATTTTTTTATATATAAAATGTTGAATCAATTGATCATTGATTTAGTTATTTAATTGAATTTTAATGTTTGTTTGGTTTGGTTTTGAATTCAATTTGATTTCAATTTTAACACAACTATAACAACAATAATAACAACGAGTTATTTATAAATTAATTAAAATTTATTATTATTTAGTTATTTATATCATATATTCAATCAAATTGTTTTTGAATTGCAATCAAAAAACAACAAAAATTATTAAATTATTTATCCATTGATTGCTATTTTAACTAAAATATCGGATTTTTTTTTTGATTATTAATTCAATTATTTTTTTAAAAAACAATTATTAATTAATTAACTAATATATATTTTTACTGTTATATTATTTTTTTTACTGACAATTGTTAACTAAATTTAGTTAATTAATTAATTTAATAATAATAATAATAATATTGTTATCAAATATTGTTTGTTTACGATATATATAATGATATAAATGTTATAAAAGTCTATTGTATTATAAAACTAAAACAAATGTTTGTATTATAATAATTATAAGTCAATTCATCAATTAATTTGATACCCGATTACCACCCGATAAGTGGCCACTACTGATAAGACACACGATGGCAACCATGGCATCGCCATATAGGGCACAGTTTAATACACCCGCCGGTGGAGGAGGAGGAGGCGGTGGTGGCGGCGGCGGCGGAGGAGGAGGCCCGCCGTCACAGTATCACAAAGGCTATCGCCAGCCGATGACCAGTTTCTATGTATTTCAACCGCGACCGCCAGTGGCCAATACATATCAGGCTACCGAATTTGATGGGAAACGTTTGCGTAAAGCCATTGCCCGCAAAACAGTCGACTATAATTCGTCGGTAATTAAGATGTTAGAGTCAAGAGTCTGGCAACGGGACGAACGAGATTTTCCCGCTATTAATCCCGATGTTGGCTACTATACAGAGGTTTTTTAATTTAAAAAAAATTGTTTTTAAAAGTTTTTTAATTATAAACTCTAATATCTATTGTTTTGTTTGTTTCGTTTGTTTGTTGGATCAGATGGTACCGCCGTTGAATATGTTGGACAATCCATCCAATTGTATAACTACAAAGTTTGTCCGAACATCGACCAATAAGATGCGTTGTCCAATATTTTGTGTCCTCTGGACACCCGAAGGTCGACGACTGGTTACGGGAGCTTCGAGTGGAGAGTTTACTCTATGGAATGGATTGACATTCAATTTCGAGACCATTCTTCAAGTAATTATCGTTTCATTCATTGATTTTTGTGGTCACTGTTGTTGTCGGCGGCGGCGGACATATCAACTAACTATTTGCTAATTGAATGTCTAATTTGATTTGTTTTCATTTTGATCTCCCCATTCAATGATTAGGCTCACGATAGCGCCGTACGGGTAATGGTCTGGAGCCGTAGCGACAACTGGATGGTAACTGCCGACCAAACCGGTTATGTCAAGTACTGGCAAAGCAATATGAATAATGTGAAGATGTTTCAGGCGCACAAAGAGCCGATACGGGCCATCAGGTTCGCACATAACACATACACAATCAATCAAATCAATCAAAAAATAGCAGATATATCTGCGTACAGTTACCTTAAAAAAAAAAAAAATATTTTTTAGACTACCGGTTCACCAAATAAACAAACAATAACATCTCCCTATCACACAATCATCACCGGTGATGTATTTTGTTGACTATTTTTTTTTAATTTGTTTGTTAAAATAATTATATATTTGTTAATTATATATTTAATCGTTAATTATTTATTTTTAAAAAAAAAATCATACAAATCATTGCTAATAAATTTTCAATCAATACCTACATTAAACTAATAATAAGTTTATAATAATAATATTTCATATGCTATGCGATCAATAATAATAAAAAATAAAGTCAATACTACTACTACTACTACTACTACTACTACTAATTTGATGATTAAAACTTGAAACTAACTAAAAAAAAATATTTTTTATCTCAAAAATAAAGTTTTAATAATAAATATATATATTATGTTAAGCTATATATGTGTTTCAACAAACAAAAAATCTGTGATATATTTTATAACAAAAAATAAAATGTTGTCTTTATTTTTAAGATATTTATAAAAAAATATTATTTTTATAAATAAAGATTTACCCAAAAAAAAATCAATGATTTAACTTCAAATAAATAATGTGTGATAGTTTATAATATATATATTTGTGATATTAGTTTTAATATTTTTTATTGTTTATATGATTTCTAAATAGTTTATATTTGAAACAAAAATAAATAAATAAAATAAAATGCAATAATCATTATATTAAATATATATATATAAATTATAATTAATTTTGTCTAACAATCTAATTATAATTTTTATTGATTATTTGAATAATAATATACAAAAAAAAAGTAATAATAAAAAAAATTAACATTAAATATATTTACTATATTTTTATTTCTTTTCCTATTATTTAATTCATATACTTATACAGTACTGTATATACTATGACTTTAAAACTAAAAATAACTAAAAAAAATTTCAATACTATAATAATAATTATTTATAATATTAATATAATTTCTATTTTTAATATATAGTTTAGTAATTTTATTATTATTATTATTATTATCTAATGGTTTGTCGCAATGTTTTATAATAATTATATTATTATTATTAATTTTTTTTATACTAAATTACTAGATATGTTTCGGTCAATTAGCTATTGGTATTATATAAGTATATAATTATTGTTTTTACATTAATTAATAAAGTATTCACATAACTATAAATATTGATAAAAAAAAATTTTTATATATGAATAATATTTAATATAACATTAATAGTTTTGTTTTATATAGTTATATAATATAAGTTTTATCGATATTTTTTTTGTATACTATAGGAGGTGGTAATAGACGACAACACAAAAATTTATACAATAATATATATATATATATATATATATATATATATATATATATATATATTTATTATTTGTTAAAACATTTTTCAATTATAGTTTTAGTAATTCATGTATAAAATTAGTGATGAAAAAAGTGTTTTTTTTAAATACATTAATATAATTATATGTATATTTAGGTGTTTAACAATATAAAAATTTTTACCGTATATTTGTTTTTTTATAGTTATTTAGTATAAACGTTATCTCATATCAATTCAATTGAAAACAATTGATAGCAAATATTTGTTGGTTAACATAAATGAAACAATAATTTATAAAAAAAAATTGTATATTATTTGCAATGTTTTTTAAAAAAAAACTATTATTAGCATAAACTTTGACATTTAAACTAGAAATCATAAAACACAATATACTACCTTAATTTTTACACAATTATTATTCAAAAAAATTATATTTAAAAAAAATAAATTAAGACTTTTCTATAGGTAATTGTATATAAAAAAAAATATTGTAAATTTAAATAACAATAATTTTTTTTTATATATAACTTATAATTCAATATATTTATATATATCTAAATATCATATACAGTATATAACGGGATTAACAAACAAACAAATTAGTCAACAAAAGTCTAAAAAAAATGTTTTTTATTTTTGTAAAAATTACTGTTTTTTTTTTGTAAAAAAAAGTTGTATCTAATGTTTTATATATATTTTTTTTGTTTGGCCATCAAAAAAATATATGGCACCTGTAGTTTTTGCCCAACCGACCAGAAATTTGCTACCTGTTCCGATGACGGTACCATACGTATATGGGACTTCCTCCGGTGCCACGAGGAACGTATACTCCGTGGACACGGAGCCGATGTCAAAGGTGTCGACTGGCATCCGTACAAGTCGTTGATAGCTTCGGGCAGTAAAGATAGTCAACAGCCAGTAAAACTATGGGATCCTAAATCTGGCCAAAGTTTGGCCACTTTGTAAGCGGATTATATAAAAAAAAACAATTATGATTTTCATTTACCGCTAGTGATGATAACCCTATTAACTCTAATAATTGATTTTTTTTATATTACCGAAACACCGATATACCTGAAGACACGCTCACAAAAATACTGTAACCGATATCCAGTGGAACCAAAACGGCAATTGGCTGCTGACATCATCGAGAGATCATTTGATTAAGATATTTGACATCAGAAACATGTCCACCGAATTGCAGACATTCAGAGGACACAAAAAGGAGGCCAGTTGTATGTGTTGTTCAGCCATTATATTCATTAATTAATTAATTATCACATTTACCGATAATTTGTCACCACCTCTTTATTTGAAGGTATTTCCTGGCATCCAATTCAAGAGAGTCTGTTTGCCAGCGGTGGCTCCGATGGATCTATACTGTTCTGGTTAGTCGGGTAAGTGTCTGTCATCATATCATTAGTTGATAGCTTTTTTGTTTGTTTGCGGTTTTTTAATTAATTACCGATATTTTTCTTTTATTGTTTGTTTGTTTATCGGGTCGGTTGGGTATACAGAACCGAAAAAGAAGTGGGCGGTATGGAAACGGCTCACGATTCTATAGTCTGGTCATTGAATTGGCATCCATTGGGACACATATTGACCTCAGGATCTAATGATCACACCTGGTATTTGATGATAATAATAATATTAATTATTATTATTATTATTACCCGATAATTAATATATATATTAATTAATTTTTTACAGTAAATTTTGGACTCGCAATCGTCCCGGAGATAAAATGCGAGACAAATATAATCTGAATTTGTTGCCCAAAGGCACCGAAGATACCGAATACGACGATGTAGTCACTGCACCGGCCATTCCGGGTATGGGTTTCGGTGATCACGAATACGAAGAGGAAGAGGACGCCTCATCTAACGCCATGAATGGCCAGTCGGCGGCGGCGGCGTCGTCGTCATCGATGGCTGCGATTCCCGGATTTGGTTTCATTAGTGACAACGATGACAATAGGGAACAGATACGTAAGGTGCCCTACGCCAAGCCTATACCCAAACAATTTCAACAGCACTGGGATGGAGATCCTAAAATGGGTGGTGGAGGCGGTGGAGGTGGGGGTCCAAATACAAACGATCACCCGATGATGATGATTGTCGATCAAAAACCAAATATGAATCCTAATACTAATACTATTGATCCAAATTTGTTGATAAGAAATCATAATAATAATAATAATTTGAATAATAATACTAATAGTAATAATAATAATATGAATCAAAATTTAATGCCACCTCCGCCTCGTTTCGGTCCCGGACCACCACCGCCGATGCCGCCACCTCGTCCACCATTTATGCAGTCAGGCGGTGGTCCACACCCTGGACTGCCAATGCAAGGACATCCTAACAATAATAATAATAACAATAATCCAAACATTCCGCTACCGTTTATGCAGCAGCAAAACAATCAGCTGCCGCCACCACCGTCTATGCCAATGCCGCCGCTGCCGCCATCGATGTTACCACTGGGAGCTCATCAACAACAACAACTCAACGACAGTCATAGTTTTCATCATAGTTTGTCACATCATCACCAACAACAACAACAATCAAATCATCGACAACAACAACAACAAAACATAAATATGGATCGACCCATATCTCCGCCACATTCGAGTCGCGATACTGACGACAGGTTTCCAATGATAGCGGTTAACCATTTTGACGAAGATCTTCGCGGACACAAACGCGACAGACCTTATGATGATCAGCAACAACAGTACAACAATAGAAACTATAGGTTTAACGATAGAGAGCATAGAGGAGGTGGTGGTGGAGGAGGAGGTCCTGACTATGACGATGTAAAGCCTCCCCGACGTGATGACCGATGGGTCGGCGGCGGCCCTGGAGTTCGGGAGGACAATGACATTGCTTTCAGAAATAGTAGTAATAATAATACCAATAATAATAATAATATTAATACCGATCAAGATTTTAGGTCAAGAAAGGGCAACAATAGTAACAACAATATCTGGAAAAATAATAGGATATCACCTAATAATGGTGACGTTCCCCAAAGGGATCCCCGGGACAGACACCCCCGGGATAGGGATCGCATGTACTAACTAACTAACTATCCCTATGATTATTATTCAACAATTATTATTATTTAACTATATTTTATTTATAATGAATAATTCATATGTATGTATATGTATGTGTTTAAGCAAAAAAACAAACAACAAAATTATAAATTAAATTAATTATTGAAAAAAAATAAATAAATAAAAAAAGATATTTTCAATAAAAAAAATATAATACTATAATAAGTTTCTGATTAGTAATTAAAAATATATATATATTTGAATTTTATTTATAGACAAACAAAATAAATCTATAAATAGATTTTTTTTTGTTGAAAATTTTAATCAATATCTCAATAATAATTATTACTTTATTTAGAAATTAAATTTTTCTCAATGTTTTTCTTTTTTTTAAGTATACAATCAAAAACTGATTTATTTTATAATATTTTATTATTTTAGTTAAAAAAAACGCCAATTATATGGCAATGACATGATTTTTAATGTCTTTCCTCTAACGGGTAAAAACTTTTTTTTTATTTGCTTATTATTATTATTATTATTACAATATATAATAATAATTACAATTATATATATATTATGTAAAAAGTTATATACAGTTAAAGTCGTGACATTTATTATATACTGACACCAATATATATAGTGTGATATCTAACCAATCAAATTGATTATTATATATATATACACTGTTAATCATAATTACAGTTATATACAGTATATTAGCAGTTATTATGCAATTTCACTGTAAAATAAAATAAATATATTAATAGACATAAAAATTGTTAATTTTTAAAAAATAAAATTACTAAAACATTGTATAATACATTTTGTAAATCAGTAAATTAAATATATATATATATATATCTAATAGAATGGCCAAATAATTATATATATATATATAATTATTCAATTGTCTATATATTATTGTATTATGTTATTGTGTATAATAACTTTATATATATATGTAATAGGAATATATATAATATATATATTTATCTAATCAAACAATTTAGATAAAACAAAGTTTAACAAATAATTTTTTATTTTTTTTTGGTTATCTATTAATATTTAAGTGTTTAGTCAATATTTATCTTTATTTTTTAAAATTATTAGTACATTGTATTCAATTTATTGATTTTATAATATTAGACTAATAACTAGCCATTTAATTGCTTAAAATTCATTAAATATAGTTTAGCAACAATAATAATAATAACTAATTAATTTAATTAATTTTTTAAAAAAGTTATTTATATTATTATTAATTATTAAAAATTATGTCAATAATAATAATATAATTAATTAAAATTTTAAAAATAAATTACTATTGAATTAGTACAATTTTTTTTGTACTATGCACTTAACAAAAAAATTTCAAGGTTACTATAGATTTTTTTTTAAAATAAATAAAAATTTTATTATTGTTATATACAGTACAGTATTATGCAATTGATTTTTTTTGAGTGCACTAAATATATAGTATATATATATAGTATTATATATATATAGTATTATAAATATATATATAGTATTATATATTGTACTGTATATACAGTACAATATATACTGTATATAGACATTGAATTAATAGTGCAAAACAAATAAAACAAACATATATTTTATACACAATATTCAGTCACTCTATTGAATGTAAAAATGCAATAATAATAATAATAATAATAATATTTCCAATGACTGTACGGTAAAAATCTAATGTTTTATTATTACTGTTAAGTGTTTTAAATTAGTAGTCAAACAAAAAAAATTGCAGAAATTTCCTGTAAAGTTGTCGTCAAGTTTTTACAGTAAATTATATGTTAACTAAACATTACATTGAATTCACATCAAAAATAAAATCATTGATTGTATTGCAAAAAGTCATTCAAAATATTAATATCTAAAATAAAAATCATTAAAATATTTCATTCATTTTAAAACAAATCATTACTTTTGTTGCAAATAAAATAATAAGACATTAATTACTTTAAGAGATCCCCAAACAAAATGTAAGTAAAATAATAATAATAATAATAAAGTGATTACAAGTATAGCGATATAATTATTATCATGACTTTCGGCATTTGTCTGATGACAGGTCACAACAACAACAACCCGAAGCCGACATTGCACTCATCGGTCTGGCAGTGATGGGCCAGAACTTGATCCTCAATATGGCTGACCACGGATTTACGGTATGTATAAAACCCCCACCAATGAGTTTATATGGCCAGAGATTATAACTACCCGATTGATTATACCCGATACCCGACACATCCGACACACAGGTCTGCGCCTATAACAGAACCACCGAAAAGGTTGACCAGTTTTTGGCCAACGAAGCCAAAGGCAAGTCTGTGGTCGGTGCACACAGTATTAAGGAAATGGTTGGCAAACTGAAACGTCCCCGACGTGTGATATTGTTGGTCAAAGCTGGTCAAGCGGTCGACGACTTTATCAAACAACTGGTACCCTATCTGGAACGCGGCGACATTATCATCGACGGCGGCAATTCCGAGTATAAGGACACTC